AAGTTTGGAGCCCCCTGTCCTGGACTGTTGCTGTGTGTGGCTGCCTCTCCACTGTGCTGGTAAAGAACCAGGTAAACTCAGCGGCTCTCATGGGGGTAGTGCACATTCCTCTGATTGGACGTCCTCCTCAGAGTCGGGGCTATGATATCCTCCAATAACATGGCACCTTCCTCACAGAGCCATGGAATGGACGACAAATGGACGCTCCGCCCCACTTCTATGTATTGGTTCTGTCTTGCATTATATTGCACAAGGTTATCATTTGTTTTCTGTGCTGTGCTGCCACCTAGCGGTGTTTTTGGGCCCCTGCAACCTGTTTACATTTTGTATCTTCCTCTGTCCTCCCCTCCTGTTTTAGTGCTAGTTGGTTTAGTTGTAGCTAGACCCTCCGAGTTAGTGATAAACAGAGACCGGGCTTAGGAAAGCCAATCAAAAGACTGGAAAAAACCGTCCTCTGTACTGCAAATATCTGAAGTAAAATTGTGTGGGGCTCAGCGCCTGTGTCTTACTGAAGAGTAAAGCTGCCTGTGGATGGTGCTAAGTCAGCAGGTGACCACATTGTCTGGATAGACTGGTCCTAAGTTCTAATGTCAATGCATAAAGCGGCATTTGAAGAGGAACAGAGGACTGTGACCGAACATCAGCTACAAGTGCGGACCCCGCATTCACTATATCCGCTCTCCCCGGACCCCGCATTCACTATATCCTCTCTCCCCCGGACTCCGCATTCACTATATCCGCTCTCCCCGGACCCCGCATTCACTATATCCGCTCTCCCCCGGACCCCGCATTCACTGTATCCGCTCTCCCCGGACCCCGCATTCACTATATCCGCTCTCCCCGGACCCCGCATTCACTATATCCGCTCTCCCCGGACCCCGCATTCACTATATCCGCTCTCCCTGGACCCCGCATTCACTATATCCGCTCTCCCTGGACCCCGCATTCACTATATCCGCTCTCCTACAGTACACAGAACATGGAAATGCAATTATTTTAAAATGAACGGCTAAATCCCTTCTCTCATCAGCAATATATAGCAGTCTTGTGACTTCTATCAGTGTCCAGCAGAGCACTGGTTAAAGCTTGTAGGAGTTTTCTTTATGTTCTAGGAGGATGCAGAACCCCTGACCTGTCTGGACAGCGCTGACTGGTCCTGTGCTTGTCACACCCACTCTCCGAAGAAAAAAAAAAAAACTCTAGCAATACACACCAAACTGAGCATGTGCAGACTTACCCCCAAGGCTCTGTACTATCAGTAGATGGATTGGGGACAGTAGAAGAAGGGGAGGATCAGAGAAGACAGGATAAAACAGCCTTTGTACACAATGAGGAGGATTAACCCTTTAGGTTCCACAGTGAGTATACCCAGCATGCTTTGCTGCATCTACAGACTGATGTCACTGTTGGGGGTTTATTAACACTTTAAGATTCCGATCAAAAATGCTTTAAATCTGAACTCCAGGCGATAGCAGAGACATGAATGACCAAAGCTCAGGATTCCCCCTCCTGCCACCGCCTCTTGGCCCTTTAACAGGGTTTAAATGCCGGGAGGCGGGCATTCCGATCATGTGACCACTCTGATTGGCCGTTGCAGCGATCACGTGGTTGGAAAGCTGCCGGGGGGCAAATCTGGAGTGGGAGGTGTCCAGTACCCATCAGTCCCTGTTCTGGGAGTGAGCTCTCAGCACACTAATACATTTACATAGAGACGCATATATGCGGACCGCCCGGCGTTAAGGCCCGCCCACCGCCACCGCCGAGGACACATATGCGGCCACCCGGCGTTAAGGCCCGCCATCGTGAGGCCACGTAAAAGGGGCCACCCGGCGTTAAGGCCCGCCCACCGCCACCGCGAGGACACATATGCGGCCACTCGGCATTAAGGCCCGCCATCGTGAGGCCACGTAAAAGGGGCCACCCGGCGTTAAGGCCCGCCCACTGCCACCGCGAGGACACATATGCGGCCACTCGGCATTAAGGCCCGCCATCGTGAGGCCACACAAAAGGGGCCACCCGGCGTTAAGGCCCGCCCACCGCCACCGCGAGGACACATATGCGGCCGCCCGGCGTTAAGGCCCGCCATCGTGAGGCCACGTAAAAGGGGCCACCCGGCGTTAAGGCCCGCCCACTGCCACCGCGAGGACACATATGCGGCCACTCGGCATTAAGGCCCGCCATCGTGAGGCCACGTAAAAGGGGCCACCCGGCGTTAAGGCCTGCCCAATGCCACCGCGAGGACACATATGCGGCCACTCGGCATTAAGGCCCCCGCCATCGTGAGGCCACGTAAAAAGGGGCCACCCGGCGTTAAGGCCCCCCCACCGCCACCACCGCGAGGACACATATATGCGTGGGAAGTGGTTGGATACATCAATAATTGTATTTAATTTTTGAATGCAATGAAAGGAGGGGGGAGGGAAAGAGAAGCAGCAAGAGAAGGAGCCAATCAGTGCAAGGAGAATGCTGATAGGGGGAGAGAGAAAGCGGCAGAGAGATAAGCTCATTCGTCTTCTGCTTCTCCTTCCCTGTCCAGTCACAGGCTGGGGGAGGAAGACCTGTAGGTGTTACTGAACTGTGGCAGAGAAAAGTCAAGTCTCCTATCCTGACAGACCTGGCTGTGCTGTGTGGCAGAGCTGTGTAAATCGCAAGACTGGATGGACAGAAATACAAACTCTTTGGCAGTTAAAACAGTTTCCTGACTCAAAGTTGCACTGTAAGGATATGGAGACATCCCAACAGCCGCACACCATGCAGTAGTAGCAGCCTCAGCTCGCTCTGCCTAAGCCAATCATGATTAAGCCCTGTGGGACGAAACGCGTTGGGACGTGGCTTAGATGGAGCGAGCTGAGGCTGCTACTACTTGGTATAGTGTGCTGCTATTGCAATGTCTGTATATCCTTACAGTTCTCATGTATGAAGCTTTGGATCTCCGCTCAGTCTCCCATCATCCTTTTTGGCAGATTGCGCTGTAGGGTGCGGCCTGGAAATGCGTTTGTCCTGACTCAAAGGTGCAATGTAAGGATATAAATACATTCCAATACCGGCACACCATGCCAAGTAGTAGCCGCCTCAGCTCACTCTGTCTAAGCCAATAACAATTAAGCCCCAGGGGTGGGACGAAACGCGTTGAGGGTGGGTGAAACACGTTGGTGGCATGGCTTAGATGGAGCAAGCTGAGGCTGCCACTACTTGGTATCCCTGCTCAGGCTCCCATCATCCTTTTTGGCAGATTGCGCTGTAGGGTGCGGCCTGGAAATGCGTTTGTCCTGACTCAAAGGTGCAATGTAAGGATATGGAGACATTCCAATAGCTGCACACCATGCCAAGTAGTAGCAGCCTCTTCTCATTCTTTCTAAGCCAATCATGATTAAGCCCAAAGTGTGGGACGAAACGCGTTGAGGGTGGGTGAAACGCATCGTGGCATGGCTTAGATGGAGCAATCTGAGACTGCTACTACTTGGTATGGTGTGCAGCTATTGCAATGTCTCCATACCCTTGCAGTTCTCATGTATGCAGCTTTGGCTCCCCACTCAGGATCCCATCATCCTTTTTGGCGGATTTCGCTCTAGGGTGGAAATGCATTTGTCCTGACTCAAAGGTGCAATGTAAGGATATGGAGACATCCCAACAGCCACACACCATGCCTAGTAGTAGCCGCCTCAGCGAATCATAATTAAGCCCTGGTGGGTGGGTGGGACGAAACGCGTTGAGGGTGGGTGAAACGCGTTGGTGGCACAACTTCGACAGAGCGAGCTGAGGCTGCCACATCCTTTTCAGCGGATTCCGCTGTAGGGTGTGGCTTGGAAATGCGTTTGTCCTGACTCAAAGGATATGGAGACATCCCAACAGCCGCACACCATGCCAAGTAGTAGCAGCCTCAACTCGCTCTGTCTAAGCCCATCATGATTAAGCTCTGGGGGGACGAAACGCGTTGAGGGTGGGTTAAAACGCGTTGGTGGCACAGCTTAGACAGAGCGAGCTGAGGCTGCCACATCCTTTTCAGCGGATTCCACTGTAGGGTGTGGAAATGCGTTGTCCTGACTCAAAGGTGCAATGTAAGGATATGGGGACATCCCAACAGCCGCACACCATGCCAAGTAGTAGCAGCCTCAGGTCACTCTGTCTAAGCGAATCATGATTAAGCCCTGGGGGACGAAACACGTTGAGGGTGGGTAAAACGCGTTGATGGCACAGCTTAGACAGAGCGAGCTGAGGCTGCCACATCCTTTTCAGCAGATTCTGCTGTAGGGCGCGGCCTGGAAATGCGTTTGTCCTGACTCAAAGGTGCAATGTAAGGATATGGGGACATCCCAACAGCCGCACACCATGCCAAGTAGTAGCAGCCTCAGGTCACTCTGCCTAAGCCAATCATGATTAAGCCCTGGGGGGACGAAACGCATTGAGGGTGGGTAAAACGCGTTGGTGTCACAGCTTAGACATTGCGAGCTGAGGCTGCTACTACTTGTCTGCTCCATGGTCTGGCACGGACTGCGGCTATCGGAATGCCTCCAAATCCTTACAGTTCTCGCGTACTTATTTTTTTTTTTTTTTCAACTTCAACTTTTAAAAAGGCGATTTTACATTTGAAATGGAAGGGCACAATGAAGAGCCCTCCTCGATTTGCACCCTACCTGAGGTTTCGTTGGGTATCCTTGGTGATTTAGCATCCTTCCCATTCCCAGGGTACGGCTCGGTTGTGCTAATCCTTCGAGGTGTTTTTTTGCTCTGATGTACCGCGGGGTTCTGCGACGTCACGTCTTTAGACCGCATGGTGGTGGAGCCGGTGGTGGACGTGGTGGTCCCCACCAGCGTGGCCCTGGCCTGCGTGGTCGAGGTCCTCTCGTAAATCCCAGGGATTGTGCTGGACTCCACGTAGTCATCGTCCCCGGTCGGCCCCCATAAAATAAACTCCGAGACGGTGGTGGGCTGACTGTCAAGGTCCAAGAAAGGCCTTAGGTTATTCCAACTTCTTCTTTGGAGCTGCCTCTTACCCCTCCTCAAACGAGGGACCTGAAGCGAGTCTCTGAGTCCTCGCCTGGAAGGAAGCGTCTTTGCACCCGCGCAGGACTGTAATGGCACATGTCTAGAAAAGCGGCTGTCCAAGTCCTTACGGTACAAATGTAAAAGCTGCGACCCCCGGGGGACCGCCGGCCTGCTGCAAGTTTGTAAACGGGCTCCAAAAGTACCTGCGACTTCTCGGCTTCGGCCTCCCCTTGGGGTTCCATGGCGCCGTGTGTTGTATCCGACGTTCCGGCGAAGGTCTCTGGAGGTATCTGTACGCCGTGCTCGGGGACCCCGACTCACAAATGATAAAATCCATGGCTAGTTGAAAAATGGCTATCAGTATCCAAGCATGGCTTCCTATCGGAGGGCCTGATCTGCGGAAAGACACGGACAAGGATTTAGGAGACGCAAAAAAAAAAAAACATTTGTATTTTGAAACATTTCAGGATTCTTTACATTGATACATCATTTAATGTATTGCAGCTTACCAATCCAGCAAAAGTGGCAGTTAGAGGGTTGGGCACAAGACATGGGGTATCTAAACTCAAAAGCAACAATGTAATATATAGCAGCTTACCAATCCCCCAAAAGTGGCAGTTAGATGGTTGGGCACAAGACCAGGGGTATCTAAACTCAAAAGCAACAATGCAATGTATTATAGCTTACCAATCCAGCAAAAGTGGCAGTTAGAAGGTTGGGCACAAGACCAGGGGTATCTAAACTCAAAAGCATCAATGTAATATATAGCAGCTTACCAATCCCCCAAAAGTGGCAGTTAGATGGTTGGGCACAAGACCCAAAAAAAAAAAAAAACGATTTCTATTTTGTAACTGTTCAGGATTCTTTACATTGCTACTTCATTTAATGTATTGCAGCTTACCAATCCAGCAAAAGTGGCAGTTAGAAGGTTGGGCACAAGACCAGGAGTATCTAAACTCAAAAGCATCAATGTAATATATAGCAGCTTACCAATCCCCCAAAAGTGGCAGTTAGATGGTTGGGCACAAGACCCAAAAAAAAAAAGAGTGATTTCTATATTGTAACATTTCAGGATTCTTTACATTGCTACATCATTTAATGTATTGCAGCTTACCAATCCAGCAAAAGTGGCAGTTAGAGGGCTGGGTACAAGACATGGGATATCTCAACTCAAAAGCAACAATGTAATATATATAGCAGCTTACCAATCCCCCAAAAGTGGCAGTTAGAGGGTTGGGCACAAGACCAGGGGTATCTAAATTTAAAAGCAACAATGTAATGTTTTATAGCTTACCCATCCAGCAAAAGTGGCAGTTAGAGGGTTGGGCACAAGACCAGGGGTATCTAAACTCAAAAGCATCAATGTAATATATAGGCAGCCTACCAATCCCCCTAAAGTGGCAGTTACAGAATTGGTAGAAGACCAGGGGTATCTAAACTCAAAAGCAACAATGTAATATATAGCAGCTTACCAATCCCCAAAAGTGGCAGTTAGATGGTTGGGCACAAGATCCCCCCCCCAAAAAAAAAGCGATTTCTATTTTGTAACATTTCAGGATTCTTTACATTGCTACATCATTTAATGTATTGCAGCTTACCAATCCAGCAAAAGTGTCAGTTAGAGGGTTGGGCACAAGACCAGAGGTATCTAAACTCAAAAATGACAATGTAATATATAGCAGCCAACCAATCCCCCAAAAGTGGCAGTTACAGAATTGGCAGAAGACCAGGGGTATCTCAACTCAAAAACAACAATGTAATGTATTGCAGCTTACCAATCCAGCAAAAATGGCAGTTAGAGGGTTGGGCACAAGACCAGAGGTATCTAAACTCAAAAGCGGCAAATTAATAAATCGCATCTAACCAATCCCCCACAAGTAGCAGTTAGAGGGAGGAGCACAAGACCAGGGGTATCTAAACTCAAAAGCGACAATGTAATATATAGCAGCTTACCAATCTAGCAAAAATGGCAGTTAGAGGGTTGGTCACAAGACCAGGGGTATCTAACCTCAAAAGTGACAATTTAATATATTGCAGCTTACCAATCCTTCAAAAGTGGCAGTTAGAGGGTTGGGACAAGACCAGGGGTATCTCAACTCAAAAATGACAATGTAATATATTGCAATGTATCAATCCCTCAAAAGTGGCAGTTAGAGGGTTGGGACAAGACCAGGGGTATCTAAACTCAAAAGTGACAATGTAATAAATTGTATCTTACCAATCCCCTAAAAATGGCAGTTAGAGGGTTGGTCACAAGACCAGGGGTATCTAAACTCAAAAGTGACAATTTAATATATTGCAGCTTACCAATCCTTCAAAAGTGGCAGTTAGAGGGTTGGGACAAGACCAGGGGTATCTCAACTCAAAAAAGACAATGTAATATATTGCAATGTATCAATCCCTCAAAAGTGGCAGTTAGAGGGTTGGGCACAAGACCAGAGGTATCTAAACTCAAAAATGACAATGTAATATATTGCAATGTATCAATCCCTCAAAAGTGGCAGTTAGAGGGTTGGGCACAAGACCAGAGGTATCTAAACTCAAAAATGACAATGTAATATATTGCAATGTATCAATCCCTCAAAAGTGGCAGTTAGAGGGTTGGACACAAGACCGGAGGTATCTAAACTAAAAAACAACAATGCAGTATATAGCAGTTTACCAATCCCTCAAAAGTGGCAGTTAGAGGGTTGGGCACAAGGGGTATCTAAGCTCAAAAACGACAATGTAATATATAGCAGCTTACCAATCCTTCTACCTGAGATCAGCAAACCTGAAGAAAGGGACTTCGGTGTAAAAAAAAATGAATTCTAATTTTAAACAATAGCTAAAAAGCACAAAAACCACAAAAAGCACAAAAAGCACAACATGTTTCAGGTCATAAAGAAGAAGGAAAACGCTAGCCGTGACACAAAGGTGTCCTCCAACTGGGACTAACTTCCAGCCAATAAGAGCCCTTCGGATTCCTGCTGTCTAAAGTCTAACAGTCGCATTCGATTCCCATCAGACAAAAGAACATTCAGTGATTGCCAATCGTCCCTGGCTGTCCCTGGCTGTCCCTGGCTGTCCCTGGCTGTCCCGGCTCCTTGTTTTCAAGATCTGTTCCTGAAATTCATGTCCCTGGCACGCTCCTTTTGTTTTCCTAATATTGGACCAAAGCCCCGAATGACGTCGTAATATCGGCTCATCGCTGACAATCCTCGCTGAGCGGTGTAGCAGGCGGGACATATGCGCCGCGCTTTTTTTTTGGAGCAGAAAAAGGATTTACATATCGCTATCCAGGAAACATTCCAACGATGCCAAAGTCTCCTCAACTGACCTTAAAGGGACACGCCATCCAAAAATGGCAGTTTAACCAGCTGCTGGGTGGTGCCAACGTGCATCCCAACCAGCCAAGTAAGTCCCTATACAGTGAAGGAAATGCGTATTTGCTCCCCCCCTGATGGTGAATGTTCGCCCCTCACACAGAAATGATCGGTCTGACACAGGGGCGGACTGACCATTCGAACACTCGGGCACAGTAGGGGGCCCCATGAGATGCCCCTGGTACCTTTCATTGGCTTTTTCATAGGCTTTTTTGGGTGTGGGCAAGGACGCAGGGGCCCCATGATCCCCTATTGCCCGGGGGCCCCATGAGTTGTCAGTCCGCCCCTGGTCTAACAATGGAATGTTCGCCCCTCACACAGAAACGATCGGTCTAACAATGGAATGTTCGCCCCTCACACAGAAATGATCGGTCTAACAATGGAATGTTCGCCCCTCACACAGAAATGATCGGTCTAACAATGGAATGTTCGCCCCTCACACAGAAAAGATCGGTCTAACAATGGAATGGTCGCCCCTCACACAGAAATGATCGGTCTAACAATGGAATGTTCGGTGTAACACTGAGAGACAGAATACAACAAATTCAGCAGAAATGCGTCTAACAAATGATGACGGATCTGCATGTTCATGAGGGAAAGAAGGATTTGATCCCCTTCACAAAACATGACTTAGCACTTGGTGGCCAATCCCTTGTTGGCAATCACAGAGGTCAGACGTTTCCTGGAGTTGGCCCCCAGGTTCGCACACATCTCAGGAGGGATTTTGGCCCACTCCTCTTGGCAGATCCTCTCCAAGTCATTAAGGTTTGCTGGCTGACGTTTGGCAACTCGAACTTTCAGCTCCTCCACAGATTTTCCATCGGATGAAGGTCTATAGACTGGCTAGGCCACTCCGGGACCTTAATGTGCTTCTTCTTGAGCCTCTCCTTTGTTGCCTTGGCCGTGTGTTTTGGGTCATTGTCATGTTGGAACAGCAGGATTTCTGGCTCCCAGGTGTCTCTCATACAGGTAACAAGCTGAGATTAGAAGCAGTCTCTTAAAGGGAGTGCTGCTAATCTCACCTGTATAAAAGACACCTGTCCACAGGAGCCATCAAACCATCAGATTCCAAACTCTCCACCATGGCAAAGACCAAAGAGCTGTCCAAGGATGTCAGGGACAAGATGGTAGACCTACACAAGGCTGGACTGGGCTACCAAACTATGGCCAAGCAGCTTGGTGAGAAGGTGACAACAGTTGGTGCAATCATTCACAAATGGAAGAAACACAAAACAAGTGTCAGTCTCCCTAGGTCTGGTGCACCATGCAAGATCTCACCTCGTGGAGTGTCAATGATCATGAGAACAGTGAGGAATCATCCCAGAACTACACGTGAGGATCTTGTCAATGATCTCCAGGCAGCTGGGACCACAGTCACCAAGAAAACAATTGGTAACACACTACGCTGACAAGGACTGAAATCCTGCAGTGCCGCACGGTCCCTCTGCTCAAGAAAGCCCATGTCCAGCCCGTCTGAAGTCTGCCACTGAACATCTGAATGATGCAGAGGAGGACTGGTGGGAAGTGTTGTGGTCAGAGGAGACCAAAATCCAGCTCTTTGGCATCGACTCAACTCGCCGTGTTTGGAGGAGGAGGAATGCTGCCTATGACCCCAAGAACACAACCCCAACTGTGAAACATGGTGGTGGAAACATTCTGCTTTGAGGGTGTTTTCTGCTAAGAGGCAGTGCCCGCAAGGTCCCTCTTATCTCCTTCACTGTAGTTGCCGGTATTCTGATGTTCTGAAGGAAAGCCAATCAATGTGTTTTCTGGCTCCAGCTCCGCCCCCCTCTGTCCATCCACACACATTGGAACATGAGAGTCATGTGGCCGGAAGCTGAAGGCTGACCAGGTGAGCACAGACAAACACACACGTG